GGGGGGGAATTGAGGAACCTGGCATTCCTGTTTTACTTGATTTTATTTCTGGGATAATAGTCTCCCCTTACAGATCTCTAATAGTCACCAACTACGTTTTATATAGTTTCTGTTTATTGTGCCTTTGTAAACAGTTTACACAGCTAATGTGATGAAAATAACCCTGACAGGATATAAATGTTCTGTAAACCGTTTTATGAATACAAATAGTCTGACTATCTACTGCCAGTCCGCTTTATATTGCGAACAGCGCACGGAAAAGTTAGCCTCGCAGCGATCGTAATGTGTGCGCGCGGTGGCGCCGCGTCTCCCGGCAATGTCACTGTCTGGCCCCGCCCCCTCCCGAGAGCCGCTCTCTGTTGCCACCTGTTGGCAGCAGAGCGCACACGTTACCGGCCGGTGATCTGATCCCCGGGGCCGACATGGGCTGCGAGGATCGGGATGTCAGCGAGGAAGATCCGGAGGTGCTGGAGCTGGAAGGACTGGGCCGGGTCTCCCCTTCGGAGAAGAATGGATGCATCCAGAATTCGCCATGGGACACTGACGGGCAGAGCGGCGCACTCTGCGCCGAGGGGGGCACGGAGGATCCAGGTGACAACCCTTTCACCCCTGAGCGTCCCCCAGCTGTGGTCACCCAGGACAGCTGTCCCCACATATCCTGTGTCCGGCTAATGGTGACAGATGATAAGACCGGTAAGAAGTTATATCATATATCCCAGGGATTAGTGCTACTTGTATATAATGACTTCTGATGAGGTCACCTCTCATGAGATGTGTGTGTCATCATCATCATCCTCACCATCTTCCTGTATGTACTGAGAGCATCTCTGTCTATTGACCGATCAGGCACGGTCCACTTTATTGTAATCAATAATGTAACATTGGCAGCTGTCACGTGACTTCAGAAGGGGGGGGGGGGTGGGGGGCCAAGACTATCAGTCACTTTTTTATATTTTATATGAACTTTGTCTGCTTCAGTTTTTTTAATGTATTCTTCCTTAATGAAGATGCCTGCATGTATTGTGTTTCTAAGGGTGGAATTTCCCTTTAATAAGGTACAATCAACCTTTTACAAAAAATGAATATGTGCCCCACACACACAGTGACGCGAGGGACATTGATTATTTTCTTGCATTGATCAGTTGTTGGCGGGGGCAG